AACAATGATTGGTGATAAACTTCAGTAGATACACCTTTCCCCTATGATAACTCTTTTGTAAAGATTTCAGCTAAGACTGCAATTAAGGAGGTCCATGACTGGAAAGCTTCTACTAAACCACTAAAGCGAAGGTGGCTAGGATCCACTCAGGGATTGGCCAGAAGTTCCCATGACATCACAACCTGCAGGAGGAGATTCCTGTGGCGTGAAGAAGAACCGTTTGGACAGTTTAAAGCTCCAATCCATTGCAGAAATCCCCCCCTGGGAGGGCATGAACCTGGAGGAAGTAGTGACAGAGGTATGCAGATGATACCTTGATTGACTTAAGTGTCCAGCTCCCCTGAGACAAAAATTGCAAGACTCAAATTTTAAATGTGGCAGTTCCAAATCATCAGGGGCTTGGCTACTCAGTCAGGAATTATTGGATTTATGTTCCACTCCTCTTCTGTGGGAGCAGCAAGCTCTCAGTCTCAAGTTAAATGAACAAACATCATCCTGAGCTCATTTTTATGACAAAGGGGATCATTTGTCTTGCACACACACAAATATTTTGATACTATCTGACTTGGGAAATAGCTGGAGGGACCCTGACCATGATCTCCATTCCCAAGGCATTATGCAAATTGAGGGGATGGGGAGGTAGCTGCCTTCAAGATACATTTTATATATTTTAGTAATTGGCACAGTACATAAAGGATACAAAATCAAGTTGATACATTTATTGAAGGGTTAGATTTGATGGAGTTAGGGGTATAGTGGCTGCTAGGACCTCCTGGAGCCTCTAGCACAGTGGTTCTCAACCTGGGGTCCCCAGATGTTTTTGGCCTACAATTCCCAGAAATCCCATAGCAACTTTGACATTGCACAAATATTTTTTAAAATAAAGAAAGAAAATCATATATCTTGCTTGCAGTCTTTTTATTGTTCATAAACTTTTGGGGAAGTTGGCTCGACAACACTTTCAGTTGTGAATTTCCCTTCTGAGGTGTAGATTTTTCTCACTTCCTGTTGTCTAACTCCTGTTCTTAAGTGTGATTCATTTGTAAGTCTGATGTTTGTAACTCGGGGACTGTCTGTCTTACTATCTTACATTTAAACTTCATTCTTGCTTTTGTATTGTTTTTTTATTTGAGTTGTTTTAATGATGTTGTTAGATGCCTTGAGTCCTATTAATGGGAGGAAGGCAGGCTAGAAATGAATAGAAATAGAAATAAAATTGAAAGGCAGTAGCTGGTGGGATCTGGGGGATTTTATGTATATTTATGGTGTTATGATTTATTCTCTTGCACTTTGATTGTATGTGCTTGATGTCTGCCTGCTAGTGGAAAGAGTTCATATGCTTTTGATTGTTCTGGCAGTAACCATTGGATTCCACAATATCAGTATCAGTACAAGAGGCTAAGGGGAAAACACTCTTCAGCAAAAGATTTCTTCCAGGGGAAGGAGTTTAGCCCTCCAATATCTCATTGACCTTTCCACTTCTTTTTTACACATGTTTGGGTAAGATTCTTCAAAAACGTGTTTTGTAAGCATTATAGTCTCAGTGAAAGGAAGAAAACTGGCCATCTTTCTTGATGTAAGGGAAGTGAGCTCATACAAAAGTAGGAAGTAAAACAAGCTAAATAGGAAAAAAAACAGAAGGGAAAATCTTCACAGACTATGTACTTTCCCATTGCTTCATTCCCCTATCATAATACATATACTTTGCCTATTGAGTTCCAAAACCAAACCTCAATCCAAGAGCTAGTTCCAACTATTGGTAGCACAAGTCCATTGAATCAATGAAACTTGCATAACTGTCACTTACTAACTTCCCATTGATTTAATATGTCTCTATTACTTGGGTCTAATAATTAGGCTTGGGCTCCAGTCAGGATGGCCAGTGGTTGTGTTGCTTTGAGGATTCTGGGAATTGTAATTTTAAAATAATTTTTCAATATTAGTACAAAACCTAAACACAGGTGAGGCTTTAGAAGGGAAAACAAATTTGATACTGTTCCATTATCCAGGCGGGGGCCACAAGGTGATGCTAGAGAGAGACAGATAGTCCACTTTATTGGGGGGGGGGGGGGAGTTGAAGAAAGAAAACAATTTCTCCTGTTTTTGCTTGTTATTCCCCCCCCCCCTTTCCCATTTCATACATGAGGGTTGTTTCCATGATGGAGACATGAAGGGGGGGGGACATGAAAATAGGACAAAATGGTCTTCCTCCTTCAACCCCACCAAAAAGGACTATCCTCTCTCGCGTGCGTGCCCCCCAGTGGCTTCTGTCCGGATAATGGAACAGTATCACAAATTTCAGGCAGAAATCTAATGCCACTTATTTTGAAAAATAAGCACCCCACAGTAGTCTTTGTCATCAGGGGCATCTGTTAGACAGCTAGAGCAGCAAATGATGGAATTGTTGAGATTCTTTAAAAAATCAGACCACTGTCATCTTGAATGGCATGAATTTTGGGAGTACACCTACTTTAACTAAGGAGATTCATTGAATCCTAGAGTTGGAAGAGACCTCATGGGCCATCCAGTCCAACCCCCTGCCAAGAAGCAGGAAAATTGCATTCAAAGCACCCCGACAGATGGCCATCCAGCCTCTGTTTAAAATCCTCTAAAGAAGGAGCTTCCAACACACTCCTGTTGCAATAGAAACCTTCTCCAGCCTCCTCTGTTTAATGTTTTGTCTGTTTTTAATGGGTCGTTTATTTCCTAAGTATATGTCTTTGCTGTTTTCTTAGCTCAGGCGTTCTCAAACTGTGGCCCTCCAGCTGTTAGGGCCTCCAACACCCAGAAGCCCTAACGACACTATACTCCTATTTATTTATTTTATGACATTTATTTATTTATGCAGGCCAGAATCCTATTGGCCTTTTTTGCAGCCACATGACATTGTTAGCTCATGTTTAACTTGTTGTCCATGAGGACTCCAAGATCTTTTTCGCACTTACTGCTGTCAATTCATTATATTTGTTTTTCTTCCCCTGGTGATGCAGCGGGTTAAACTGCTGAGCTGCTGAACTTTCTGACCAAAAAGTTGGTGGTTCAAATGCGGGGTGAGCTCCCACTGTTAGACTCAGCTTCTGCCAGCTGAGCAGTTCCAAAACATGCAATTATGAATAGATCAATAGGTACCGTGGGAAGGTAACGGCGCTCCATGCAGTCATGCTGGCCACATGACCTTGGAGGGATCTACAGACAATGTGGGCTCTTTGCCTTAGAAATGGAGATGAGCAACACGCCCAGAGTTGGACATGACTAGACTTCTTGTTTACCTTTTACCTTGATACAAAACTACTATATGTCACAGAGAAAGGAGGAGTCCCCGGTGGCACAATGGGTTAAAAGCTTGTGCTGGCAGACCAACAAGTCAGAGGTTCGAATCTGTGGAGAGCGCAGATGAGCTCCCTCTGTCAGCTCCAGCTCCCCATGCAGGGACAACCTGGGTAGATGCGGGGAATGCCGTGGATGTACCATATCTGGATTTCAGTAAGGCTTTCGACAAGGTCCCTCATGACCTTCTGGCAAGGAAACTAGTCCTGTGTGGGCTAGGCAAAACTATGGTTAGGTGGATCTGTAACTGGTTAAGCAAACGAACCCAGAGGGTGCTCACCAATGCTTCCTCTTCATTCTGGAAAGAAGTGACGAGCGGAGTGCCACAGGGTTCCGTCCTGGGCCCGGTCCTGTTCAACATCTTTATTAGTGACTTAGATGAAGAGCTAGAAGGCAGGATCATCAAGTTTGCAGACGACACCAAATTGGGATAGCCAATACTCCAGAGGACAGGAGCAGGATTCAGAATTATCTTAACAGATTAGAGAGATGGGCCAAAACTAACAAAATGAAGTTCAACAGTGACAAATGCAAGATACTCAACTTAGGCAGAAAAAATGAAATCCAAAGATACAGAACAGGGGACACCTGGCTCGAGAGCAGTACGTGTGAAAAAGATCTTGGAGTCCTTGTGGACAGGAAGGTGAACATGAGCCAACAATGTCATGTGGTTGCAAAAAAAGCCAATGGGATTTTGGCCTGCATCAATAGGAGCATAGTGTCTAGATCCAGGGAAGTCGTGCTCCTCATGCTCTATTCTGCCTTGGTTAGACCTCACCTGGAATATTGTATCCAATTCTGGGCACCACAATTCAAGAAAGATATTGACAAGCTGGAATGTGTCCAAAGGAGGGCGACTAAAAGGATCAAGAGAGAACAAGCCCTATGAGGTGTGGCTTAAAGAGCTGGGCATGTTTAGCCTGAAGAAGAGAAGGCTGAGAAGAGACATGATAGCCATGTATAAATATGTGAGGGGAAGTTACAGGGAGGATGTGGAGACTAGGATACAGAACAATGGCTTCAAATTACAAGAAAGGAGATTCCATCTGAACATGAGGAAGAACTTCCTGACTGTGCGAGCTGTTCAGCAGTGGAACTCTCTGCCACGGAGTGTGGTGGAGGCTCCTTCTTTGGAAGCTTTTAAACAGAGGCTGGATGGCCATCTGTTGGGGGTGCTTTGAATGCAATTTTCCAGCTTCTTGGCAGGGGGTTGGACTGGATGGAGGTCTCGTCCAACTCTATGACATGAGAGAATCCTCCCACAAGGATGGTAAAACATCAAAACACCTGGGCGTCCCCTAGGCAACGTCCTTGCAGACGACCAATTCTCTCACACCAAAACCAACTTGCAGTTTCTCAAATCACTACTGACACGAAAAGGAAAAAAAACAGCGAGAAGCTAGAGACAGATATACTGGAGGTTGATACATTGGAAGGCATTCTCCGCGATGCCCCCAAAGCAGCCCGCTTGAAGCCAGCTTCTCGGATTGTCTACCCACACAAAGAGTTGGTTCCTCAACACAAATGTCACACCCATGTTATGTGAGTCCCTTGGAACTGAAAGAAGCGTGGGCTACTCCAGTCAGCAAGGCGCGCGCGCGCAGCGAGGGGATTGGCGGGCGCGCGGCCGAGGCGAGCCGTGACGTCACACGAAAGAAGAAGACGCGCCCACATCGCGGGCTGTGGCCTGCCTGGGGAAAGGACGGGGGCGCGCGGGGAAGAACCAAGGAGTCGCGCGGCGCAGGAGGGCAGCACGCGACTCCCTCGCGGGCTCTCCGATGTGTCCGAGGCCGGGATGGCCCGCCAAAGGTGAGCAGGGGACCCCGCTTGGGATGGCTCTACCTGGCCGCCAGGTGGTCTCCTTCCTTCCTGCCTGCCTGTCTGCCTGGCGCGCAGACCGATTTATGCTACTTCGCAGGCTGGCACCTGAGAATGTCCAGAAAGCACCTTTCCTCCTGCGGCTTTCGGGCCGTTTCCGGGCCAGCTTTCGGGCGGCAACTTTCCAAGTCTGGAAAAGTTTGGAATCACGAAAGTTTTAAACCAGGCACGGGCAAACTTGGGTCTTCCCTCCAGGTGTTTGGACTTCAACTCCCACAATTCGCTGTTAGGAATTGTGGGAATTGAAGTCCAAAACACCTGGAAGGAAAGCCCAAGTTTGCCCGTGCCTGATCTATCTCCTTAAGGACCAATCTGTAGGTGTCCCCTTCACTTCCGTATTGAGGAAGGGACAAGCTTGTTTCCTACTGCCCGGAGACTAGGATACAAAATACAGGAAGGAAAGATCCCATCTAAACCTCCTGGTGGTAATTTATTTCGTATCAAAAGCATTGCATAAATTAGTATAAAACTGATAAAAATTGAAAGCGCGCAGGTGGCTAAATATCTTTTGACCAAAAACGGGCAACAGCAACTGTATTGTCTGTAGCCTCCAACAATTCCTCCTCTGTACATGAGGCAGGGCACAGTGGACAAACATACAGATGTGGAGTTGTCTGTTCTGCTCCACAGTCACACAAGGTTTGGGATTCTTTTAAGTAGTGCCCTTTTGCCAGGTTGTCTTTTGATCTGCCCACTCCACTTCCGAGTCTATTCAGGGACTTCCAAGTTGCCCATTCTTGGTTTGCCCCTGGAGGAAGACCCTGTTCAGGGACTTTCAAGTTGCCCATTCTTGGTTTGTCCCTGGAGGAAGACCCTCGCGGGGGGGGGGGCATCCAGTTGGGATTTCCTGGTTTAGCTGCCCAGAGGGATACCCTTGCTGTTGCTGGGGGATGCCAAGAGGAGTGGTAGTTCTCATAATGCTTTTCCTTGATTTGAGTCTACTGGGAGGAGGCTGGTAGCCATGTAGTGGATGTTCACAGTGTTCAACCTTGTTTCTCTCACATTTAGCAGCAACTTCTCGTCACACATGGGGGGGGGGGGGGGGCAATGCCAGCTAGCTTTTAGAGTTTATCAACAGGTGTAGGTTTAAGACATCCTGTGTTTATTCTGCATGTTTCGTTCAATGCTGGATCATAGAATCATAGAGTTGGAAGAGACCTCACAAATGCTACATTCACCTGCTTTGCATGGGCAGACCTATGCCAAACAGGGCAGGCATACTGGCAGTTGAGTAAGACAAGGGCAGGGCTGATGTTCTTATTAATTTTGGGTCTGCACCCCATGTGCTGCCGGTAAGTTTTCGCAGGATGTTATTGCGTGCAGCTACTTTGTGCTTTTGTGTTCAAGCAGTGTTCACTATATGCTAGTTATCCTGGTGGTGAGAGCTGTTCAATAGTGGAATATGCTGCCTGGGAGCCTGGTGGAGCCTCCTTCTCTCAAGTCCCATTATATACAATAGTGTCCCTTAGATAAAACAGGAAAATTAAGGTTTGCTTTTGGGATTTTTCCTGGGGGAGTATGCAGGGAATATTTTCAAGCCATAGATGTATAAATCTGTGAGGGGAAGTCTAAAATGATTAGGAGAGCGACTAAAATGATCACGGTCTGGAGAACAAGCCATATGAGGAGCAGCTTAAAGAACTAGACATGTTTAGCCGGCAGAGGTGAAGGCTGAGAGGAGACATGATAGCCATGTATAAATATGTAAGAGGAAGTCATAGGGAGAAGGGAGCAAGCTCGTTTTCTTCTGCCTTGGAAACTAAGACACTGAACAATGGCTTCAAACTACAGGAAAGGAAATTCCACCTGAACATTAGGAAGAACTTCCTAAAGGTGAGAGCTGTTCAGCAGGGGAACTCTCTTCCCCGGAGTGTGGTGGAGGTTCCTTCTTTGGATGATTTTAAACAGAGGCTGGATGGCCATCTGTTGGAGGTGCTTTGAACGCATTTTTTTTTTTGCTTTTTGACGGAATGGGGTTGGACTGGATGGCCCCTGAGGTCTCTTCCAACTCCTTGATTATGTGGTTGAATCAAAGGATACTGAATTCATGGATATGAAGGACAAAAGCTAGATCTACACTGACATATCATCCAGATTATCTGCTTTGAACTGGGGGCTCTTCCAGACAGGCCCTATATCCCAGGATCTGATACCAGGTTGGGTTGTTGTAAGTTTTTCGGGCTGTATGGCCATGTTCCAGAAGCATTCTCTCCTGACATTTTGCCTGCATCTATGGCAGGCATCCTCAGAGGTTGTGAGGTCTATTGGAAACTAGGAAAATGGATTTTATATATCTGGGGAATGTCCGGGGTGGGAGAAAGAACTCTCGTCTGTTGGAGGTAGGTGTGAATGTTTCAATTGCACACCTTGATTTGTATTGCATGGCCTTGCAGTTTCAAGTTGTGACTTCTTACTGCCTGGAGGAATCCTTTGTTGAGAGGCGATATTGAATTTTCTGTTTATCCCAGATTATCTGGCAGTGCAAACTCATATAATCCAGTTTAAAGCAGAAAACCTGGGATCAGATCCTGGGATATAGGGCCTGTCTGGAAGGGCCCTGAATCATACGAGTCTACTTTACACTGCTATATAATCCAGTTCAAAGCAGATACAGATTTGGAGCTACTGAACAGATGTCTAGATGATTTGCAGTACATAGGCAAGGCTATCTAACTTGGTGCCTCCAGTGGTGCAGCGGGTTAAACCGCTGAGCTGCTGAAGTTGCTGACTGAAAGGTTGATGTTTAAAATCCAAGAAACAGGGTGAGCTCCTGCTGTTAGTCCCAGCTTCTACCAACCTAGCAGTTCGAAAATATGCAAATGTGAGTAGATCAATAAGTACTGCCTTGGTGGGAAGGTAACGGCACTCCATGCAGTCATGCTGGCCGCATGACCTTGGAAGTGTCTACAGGCAACGCCGGCTCTTCGGGTTAGAAATGGAGATGAGCACCAACCTCCAGAGTCGAACATGACTTGTCTTAATGTCAGGAGAAAACCTTTACCTTTTCCTATCTAACTTATTTGATTAGCAATAGCAACAACACAGTGGTTGATGCTGTAGAAATGAGGCATCTCTATGTCATCAGGGGTGGGTTTGACACAGAAGCCAGGTTGGAGGGGCCGACAGATGGCCATCCAGCCTCTGGTTTTGGGTTTTGTTTGTTTGTTTGTTTGATTGTTTGTTGTCGAGCTTCCTCTGTCAGCTCCAGCTCCCCATGCGGGGACATTAGAGAAGCCTTCCACAAGGATAGTAAAAACATCAAACATCTGGGCATCCCCTGGGCAATGTATTTGCAGATGGCCAATTCTCTCACACCAGAAGTGACTTGCAGTTTCTCAAGTCACTCCTGACATGAAAAAAAAGTATCTGCTTCAAAGATTCCAAAGAAGGAGTCTCCACCACACTCTGGGACAGAGAGTTCCACTGCTGAACACCTCTCACATTTAGGAAGTTCTTCCTCATGTTCAGGTGGAATCTCCTCTCCTGTAGTTTGAAGCCATTACTCTGCAGCAGAAAACATATACATAATATATTTTTGGGTTGGAAGAAAAAAATGTCTGCTACACTCCATAAGGAAAATTATTGTTTTAGACATCCATTATTTATTATTTATTTATTTACTTTGCTTATATACCGCTGTTCTCAGCAGTATATAAGCAAATATAAATTGATTGATATATTGATTTTGTACCCTGCCTTTCTCCCAGTATGGCCAAGGCAGCTTACAATATATGATTGAACAAAATTTAGTTAAAACAATCTCATACACTTTTTAAAAATATAATGACAATCTAATTAAACTATTAATTGAAAAACAGATACTTCTGCTTTTTCAGGCACATTATCAAAATGTCCACATCACAGTGTGGCTTGTAAACCTAGAATCTGGCACAAAAGTTCAGCATGAATGAATCTGTGACTCATAACTTGTCACTGTACTTAGGATGTAGAAATGGTTAGTGAAACTAACCACAAAACATCAACATTCATTTCGAAGAGAGATACTGATACATAAATAAGACTGCTATATGAGCTGACTTTGCAAGTATAGGTTGCGTATTCTTCATCTAAAACCACACAATCTTTGAATTTTGAAAAAAAAATGGATTTTAGAATACCTGTATTTTCATGTTATGAACATAAGATATTTGATAGATGGGACCCAAGTATAAACATAAATTTTATGTGTGTTCCATACACATCTTGTACACATAAACTGAAGGTAGTTTTACACAGTATTTTTTACTAACTGTGTGCATGAAACTAAGTTTGTGTCCTTTGAATCATCAGAAAGGTAAAGGTATATCTTTTAATTGGTTTTTTGTATGGATTTTTATAATGTTGTGCTAAATGTTTTTTAATTGCATATTATGAGTGTTGTGGCATCAAATTGCTGCCAATTAGTAAGCTACCTTGAGTCGTCTTCTGGCTGAGAAAGGCGGGATAGAAATACTGTAAATAAATGATAAATAAATAATAACATTAAGTCCAGTCGTGTCCGACTCTGGGGATGGTGCTCATCTCCGTTTCTAAGCTGAAGAGGCGGTGTTGTCCGTGGACACCTCCAAGGTCATGTGGCCAGCATGACTGCATGGACTGCTGTTACTTTCCCACCAGAGTGGTACCAATTAATCTACTCACATTGGCATGTTTTCAAACTGCTAGATTGGCAGAAGCTGGGGCTAACAGCAGGAGCTCACCCCGCTCCCCGGATTCGAATCTGCAACCTTTCAATCTGCAGGTTCAGTGGTTTAACCCACTCCACCACCAGGGGCTGCTCCCATCAGAAAACAGAGCTGCAATTATTTCTGCTACCCATGTGAAAAAAAAATATTTCAAATTTCAGAGTTCCACATATGGAATGCTCAACCTATAGTCTGAAAAAAAGTCTTTAGGCTTTTAAACAGGGACATGACAAGAAATGCACTATTCTTGTAGACCTCTTTGAAAAGAAAAGTTTGTGGAAAGTGCAATTTTAAAAAAAGTAGGCTTATCATTGAACAAAATCACTTTCATATTATCTTCTTTGTATTCTCTATAATGAAATATAATGCTCTGTGTTTGCTTCGTATATCACAAAGTATAGAGTCTGCATGGTATCATGCTTTGGGCATTGGATTACAACTCTGGAGACCAAGGTCCAATTCTTACTCATCCATGGAAACCCATTGGGGGACATTGGGCAAATCACACACTCTCAGTCCCAGGAAAACCCATGATTTGGTCACCATAAGTTAGAATTGTTTCTGAATGCTTTAGTATTGCTCCAGTAGTATAGAAAATTAGGCTCAATCGGACAGAAAAAACTTAATAATAACAATGTGTGCTGTGTTGTGCTTAACTTTGTGAAGTCTCTGGTGCTGATGGACTGAGCTGATGGTATTAAATGTTTGGTTGTGCAAAGAACAAAGGTTTTTGGAGGGTTGGGGGGAGTATTGATTTGGCCAAGATTAAAATCTCATCGTGACTTACTATAGGGAAGTGGTGTAGGGGGTTAAGGGAGCTGAAACAGGAGCTGAAAGAAAGGGTCTGAAGGATAAGAGCAGAGAAGAGGGAATAAGAAAGGACTAAATGGGATGAAAGTAGAGGACAAGAGAGCAAAAGAGTTTTAGTGTAACAGGATAGATAAAGAAATGGAGAGAAACTGGTCAGTTGCCTTAAAACTGAAACCTGGAGAAACTACAAGTATTGGAAATGTAGAGGTGAAGAAAGACAGAGAGAAAAGACGTCTGGGAAAATCACTATATGATTTTCAAAGAACAGCATGTTTGTGCTTTGTTTTGTTTTGTTTTCTACTACTATCTGGTAGTTCTCCAACTATGTGTTTATTCATTCTTCACACACATTTATTGACTGTTTATGAAGATCTTGCCTCACCATCTGTTTTTATCTTGCTTTAGCCTTGGATTCATGGCCCTCTTTCTTTGGTTTCAGAGAGTTGTTGGTAAGTTACAGTTCAGTATTGTTAACATAATGTAATAGATACTTTTAGATACAGTCGTAACAATGGGGAAGATCAAGCTGCCAATCTTTTTTCCTGATATTCAGGGTGGACTGTAAAAATGCAAACAAAACAATTTCAAAATTATATAGACAGTTTTATATGGCAGCTATATTCTTTGTGCCTTTAACTATACCCTGGGAAAAAAAGCCCAGCATTTTTATGGTTACTGTTATTTTCATTCCACCTAAAATGGGCCATTGTCTTTAAAATGGACACAGCAGGGAGTTGGTTGAAGATACAAATGGCCCAGCGTGCGGCAGCCAGGTTGCTAACGGGAGAGGCGCTCAGTGAGCATACAACTCCGCTGTTGCATCAGCTTCATTGGTTGCCAGTTTGCTACTGGGCACAATTCAAAGTTCTGGCTTTAGCCTATAAAGGCCTAAACAGTTCCGGCCCAGCTTATCTATCCAAATGCATCTCTCCCTATGAACCCACCAGGAACTTGAGATCATCGGAGGAGACCCTGCTCTCGATCCCGCCTGCTTCACAAGCATGTCTGGTGAGGACAAGGACAGGGCCTTCTCTGTGATGGCTCCTCGGCTGTGGAACTCCCTGCCTAGGGATATTAGATCAGCCCCCTCCCTCCTGACCTTTCGAAAAAAGTGAAAACTTGACTCTTCGAGCAAGCATTCAGAACCTCAGCATAATCAGACAAACTTGAGTCGGAAAATGATCTAGGAACAGCTAAGATGATGGAACGGATAAGGATTGAACACGAAGACATAGTTTTAAATTTTTATTGTTTATTTTTTTATGGTTTTTAAATGTATTGTGATGTTTTTTCTACTTTTATTAATGTATGCAATTTTTATATGTGGCATCGAGTTGTGCCGACTTGTACGCCGCCCTGAGTCGCCTTGGGGCTGATATGGGCAGGGTAGAAATAGCGTAAATAAATAAATAAATACATACATACATACATGAATTTTCATGTTGAGTAAAGTCATACTTGTCCACTTTCTTCCTGTGACATAGAAGATACAGTGGCAACAGTTGTTAACTCTGCCCTTGAGGGATGAGGTACTCTAAGGCCCCTTCTACACTGCCATATAACTCAGATTATCAAAGCAGATCATCTGGATTTTATATGGCAGTGTATGAGGGGCCAAAGGCTAATCTGTCAGGAACAGTTGAACTGTTTATATGGGGCCCTCTTTCAGTAATCACAGAACACAATGATACTGGTCCAAACAGCAAACAATCAGAATCATGGTGCATATGTGCGCAGTACAAAACATTACAGGGGTTTCTCCTGATTATTACTCCCAACTAAATTCTCATAAACCCAATGAGTCAGTAGACCGTTAGTAAGTAAAAACCTATGTACATTTCAGTGGGACTAACAATTAATTTTTGGATGAACAATTAGTTTTCTGGCATGAAAACTAATCCACAAAATAAATGCATTTTTAATCTGAACTCATCTACACTTTCAGTTTGGCACACCACCTCCAATGTCATAATCTGAAAGAAGTCTCAATCTTAAAGAATTCTCAAGGGACCCTTCCTCCTTAAGGGTTCTTTCAGATTATCACACTGGAGGAATTTCCATGCCAGAAAATTAATCGTTAGGCCCAACTAAAATTGACCCACGGAAATGTAAATAGGTCTTTACTTACTAACAGTCTATTGACTCATTAGATCTATTCTAGTTGGGACTAATAATCAGGAGAAACCCCTGCAGTCTTTTGTATTGTGCACATAGGCACAATGATTCTGATTGTTTGCAGTCTTTTGTACTGTGTTCAGGAGAACCTTCTACAGCCCCTTCAACAGAGCTGTATAAAATCCACAGTCTGATTTGAACTGAATTGTATTGCAGTGTAGACTATGGCCACTTCCACACAGCTGTATAAAATCCACATTGAATTGGATTATCTGGCAGTGTGGACTCAGATAATCCAATTGAAAGCAGATATTGTGGATTATCTGCCTTAATATTCTGGGTTATATGGCTGTGTGGAAGGGCCTTAAACCCCCATCTACACTGCCATGTAATCCAGATTATCAAAGCAGATAATTCACATTGTCTGCTTTGAACTGGATTATATGGGTCTACACTGCCAGATAATCCAGCTCAAATCAGATAATCTGGATTTTATATGGCAGTGTGGAAGGAGCCTAAAATAATCCCATTAAAATCAGATAATGTGGATTTTCTGCTTTGATAACCTGGACTATCTGGCCTTGTAGAAGGAGGCTCTTTTAAGGAAGAAAGCATAGAGACTGATTCTGGTCTGATCTCTTCCCCTGATATTTAAAAAAATATGAACACATAATGTTTGTATGCGAGTAATATGATGGTTTCATTTCAGTGACCTATTATGAGAAAAGTATTGTCGGCAGACACTCTGTCTAAATCAGTTGTTCCCAATCTTTGCTCCTCCAGGAGTTTAGGAATTCAACTCTCAGAAGCCCCAGCTAGTTTGGATAACAATTGGGAATTCTGGGAGCTAAAATGTGCAACTTCTGGAGAAACAAAGTTCAACTGGTCTAGATTAAAATAGCACCAAAAATCTAAAAACTTTAAAAATGATAAATCATTAAAATCCACCCCCACAATAAATACAATAATTTATCACTTGGAAAAGGTGTAAATAAATTTTCAAGAAGATAGTCCTGTTCATCTGTTCAGCACAAGGAAAATGGCAAATGAGAGATCTAGCAGCACTTTTGCAACTGATATATTTCAGTATAGGTTTCCATAGGTTGTCCACGCCATCAGGCCAGGAACTAATCCTTTCTATATATATGCTTCCCTCTTGCAGTTGCATCCGAGCAACTGATAATGTGGATTTTCTGCTGTGGTATCTCGCAGTGTGGAAAGGACCTTAGAGGCCAGGAGCTAATCCTTTTTATATAGACCCCCCTCTTTTGATTGTATCTCAGTTTTCAAAAGACCTTTAAAGCTTGGCATGGTTTCAGTCATCAAAAGCCCCTCCTACACTGCCATTTAAACCAGTTCAAAGCAGATAACCTGGATTTTATGTGGCAGTGTAGAAGAGGCCAAATTCACATGGAGAAGAGTGTTATGTAGGGTACATGAAATGAAACCACTGTGGGTGTCCACTTTGTGAAGTGACCTTACTTAATTCTTTTAATTGAAAAACCACCAATAAAGCTTCTACTCATATTTTACTTGGGCACACTCTTAAACCCCCCTTTTACACTGCCATATAAAATCCAGATTATCTGGTTTGAATTGGATTATATGGCAGTGTAGACTAAGGGACCTTCCATGCAGCCATATCATCCAGAATATCAAGGCAGATAATCCACAATATCTGATTTGAACTGGGTTATCCGAGTCCACATTGCCATATACTCCTGTTCAATGTGATTTTTATATAACTGCATGGAAGGGGCCTCATATAATCCAGTTCAAAGCAGATAATGTAGATTATCTGCTTTGATAATCTGGGTGATATGGCAGTGTAGAAGGGCCTTAGTGACACTAGATTGTGATAAAATAAAGGCTCTCTGTGGGCCCTTCCACACAGCCATAGAACTCAGAATATCCAGGCAGATAATTCACAATACTGCCATATAATCCACACTGCCATATAATCCAGATCAATGTGGATTTTATACAGCTGTGCGGAAGGGGCCTATCACTCTAAAAATACCATATAATACACATCAACAAGAGCCATTCCCTTGAGAAAACACAGGATCAGGTTCCATATTCCCATCACCTTGGGATCATGAATAAATGCCAAAATTAGTTTTGGTTCCTGGAAATCAATTTAAATCCATATTCTTGCAACATATTACATTTCACGTCTTACGGTGTTCATGTCACCATTCCTACCTGCCCTGAATCTCTGTAGATATAATTTAAAATATTTTTTTGCTTGAGGAAATTCTCCCTGTTTGTAGTGAATATCCTGAGTTGGATTTCTGACTTTGCAAGAAATGGAATTTGCAGTTTTTATCCCGGACTCCTTGGTGTAATGAATATGCTAAAAAGGCATTACCTTACAGAATTAACCCCAATTTGAAATAAAACGATATGTTGCCACTAGAAAACTGGATTGTAGGCTGCAATGTATTATTAAGTGACATTTTGTTTACCTTATTTGTTTTTATAGCAAATGTACCCATCGTTATTGGCATAATTGGAGGTACTGCTGAAATGGAATGCTTTTATTATGGAAAAGAACCATTCGTCCTGAATAAATTTAGAATAATATGGCAAGAAAAAGAAGAAAGGTTTTGCCCCATAGATATCTATTCTCCTGGTGAAGATTTGAAGTCCAGCCAGTGCAACGAATTCCAAAACAGGACTCTATTCAGTGAGCAGCTGAAGAAGGGCAACTTTTCCCTGAGACTGTCAAACATCCATCCTGATGATGACAAAACATATAAATGTGTAGTACTGAAAAACGAATCAGGAATGTTTTTGCTCTATAATGAATCCATTGTAACCCTCAAAGTGGCAGGTAAGGAGCTCCTATGCAGTTATTTCTGATTAACAAGCCAGAGATTCAAGTGGACATCCTCTTAGGAAAAAAAAAAACAATTTTGGTTCAGCAGAATGATAAAATGGCAGAAGGAAGTTCAAAAGTATTTTTTGTGTCTGAATTTCACAGACATCCCCTAGAGAACCAGGGAGCAACAGGGCTTCAAATGATACGCTATAGTAACTTCCCTTACTGCAGGGCTATATTTATATTTAGGGTTTATGACATGTACATTCCCACTCCCACACCACTCCCATTGGTGCATTTGTTGCTTTCCTAATGGCTGCTGTTGAATATATACACACATACACAAGCTTAGGTACTGGTGATGCCTAGGTTAGATATTTTGTAATGCTATATTTTATTTGGGATTACATTTTACGAATGGCCCCATTGGAAATACAAATGGCTCTCTGGATGTGAGTGGACAACAACTCGCATCATCTTCTATCAATTCCCCAAAACTTTGCCATCACTTTAAGATGGTCATGATGGATATGTATGCCAAGCTTGATCCAGATCTATTGTTGCTGGCCATGACGAGGCTCTGATTATATGGGGACCATTCTGGAAAATAAATAAATAAATAAATAAATACATACATACATACATAGATACATACATAGGTACGTGCATACATATTTTAGCTTTTATATCAGCATTTCTCAACCTGGTTGTCGGGACCCCTGGGGAGGCACAAGGGGGTGTCAGAGGGGTCACCAAAGACCATCAAAAAACATAGTGTTGTCTGTTGGTCATGAGGGTTCTGTGAGGGACGTTTGACCCAATTCTAACGTTGGTGGGGTCCAAAATGCTCTTTGATTGTAGGTGAACTATAAATCCCAGCAACTACAATTCCCAAATGTCAAGGTCTATTTTCCCCAAACTCCACCAGTGTTCACATTTGGGCATATTGAGTATTCGCTCCAAGTTTGGTCCAGATCCATCATTGTTTGAGTCCACAGTGCTCTCTGGATGTAGGTGAACTACAACTAAAAAACTCAAGGTCAATGCCCACTGAACCCTTCCAGTATTTTCTGTTAGTCATGGAAGTTCTGGTGCCAAGTTTGGTTCAATTGCATTGTTGTGAAGTTCAGAATGCTCTTTGTAGGCGAACTCTAAATCCCAGCAACCACAACTCCCAAATGACAAAATCAATCTCCGCCAACCCCGCCAGTGTTCAAATTTGGGGATATTGATTTATTACAGTAGCAAAATTACAGTTATGAAATATGAATTATCAAATAATTTTATGTTTAGGAGGTCACCACAACATAAGAAACTGTATTAAGGGGTTGTGGCATTAGAAAGATTGAGAACTACTGTTTTATATAGAAATATATGGCATTTTTTTTTCAAAACAGGTTAACTACAAAAATGAGGGGGGCGATGGCATATGGCTGAGATTAGAATAGGCCAGGACTATTATAGGATCACTGAAGCATCTGGCTATCTACTTATGGCCAGATATGAAATTACTGAGATTACTCATCAGCACTGAGATCCCCTGCGGGAGCCCTGGTAATCTCATCAGTGATGACATCATAAGTGTCTGTCATGAATAACTTTTCAATAACTTTAAAGCACAGGTTCTTTTTATTGCAATTTCTAGTGTGAGAGGATACATCAGATTACAGAAAAACATTTAGACATACAGACATACAGATTCTATGTAACTACATTGGATTTACAATTACAATTACAAACAAACAAAGGAGAATTACATTTTTACTCAGCATTCACACATATGTACATGCATTCATCCACATGCATTCAAATATTACCAATATTACCATATCCTTTTCTTCCTCCTTGGAGAAGCACCTGTTAGGCTAGACCCTGATTTCCTGCAGCCTGCCAATGCATAGTTCCAAAACTTCCATAATGCCAAAATTTCAAAATGCCAAAATGCAATCTTTCCCTAAGCACAATGCCAAGGACCAGATCTCTGTTTTCCATGCAGCAGAACCTGATTCACAAAATCTAAGACTCCAAAAGCGCACTTCTTCCTCTTCCGTTGAGAAAGAAGCCCCAAAGTGTCCAGAATCATGCTTTCCCATAGCATATCTGCGCCACTCTCCGAATACACCATCTCTCTCCTTCCCGTGGAGCAGACCATGGCGGGTGAACCAGACTCCTCAGGTCTGTCACAGTTTGAGAATTATTAGATTGAGTCTTTTATAAAATTATTCTGCTGATGCAGTCCCAAAGTTGTAAATTAATGATAGATGTCTTCTATCCCGACTCTTATCTCAGTTTCCTGGCCAGATGTTGATTCTTCTTGATTGGTGTTGATCTTATGTTGACTTCCTTCTTAACATTTTAAACATTTCTATTATCACTGTCCCAGTTCTTATCAGAGTTTACTCTTCAGTTTTTATTAGCAAATTTTAATTACAGTCCAACAAGCAAGTAGTTAGTCATTGCAGGCCTTAATATTATACTGGTGTCTTCAAAACTATCAATTCCATCCATACATCCTTCCATTCTTCCATTCATTCCCACCCATCATATTAAATTTACATTTATCTGCACATTGAATTTCTTATTACATGTCTATATCCCTAATAGGATTTCAGGTAGTGTGTGCTTTCCACACACTTCTGGGAGGTATAAGAAGCATGCAGCTTGCTTTAAAGCAATATGCCATCCTTTTTCCAAGCCATGGCATGTTCACCAGGCACTCTTAGCATAAATCCATTGAATCAGTGGTATTTACTGAAGTGTTGACTTGTATTCAGCAATTTCTTTATTGGGTCTACAATTAGATATGTAGCTTTATCTATGAGAGGAACTGAATTAGATTGATAGATTATAATCTTGATATGTTGCATTGACAAACCATATTCCAAAACTGCCAGAAATCCTTGGGTTTATGAAATTTAGATGAAAAGGGAAAACAACAGCTGAGGACAATAAAAGTAAAGTTAAAGATTTCACTTGACATTTAGTCTAGTTGAGTCCGACTCAGGGCAGTGGTCCTCATCTCCATTTCTAAGCTAAAGAGCCAGCATTGTCCGTAGTCACCTCCAAGGTCATTTGGCCAGCTTGACTGCATGGAGTGCTGTTACCTTCCAGCAGAAGCTGTACCTATTTGCGTGTTTTTGAACTGCTAGGTTGGCAGAAGCTGGGGTTAACAGTGAGAGCTCACCCCTCTCCCCAGATTCGAACCACCAACCTTTCGGTCGAGGAAGTTCAGCAGTTTAACCTGCAGTCATGTGGCCAGCATGACTGTATGGAGCATCGTTACCTTCCTGCTGGAGTGGTACATTTGCATGTTTTCAAACTGCTAGATTGGCAGAAGCTGGGGCTAACGACAGGAGCTCACCCTATCCACAGATTCGAACCGCCGACTTTTCAGCCAGCAAGTTCTGGAAGCATGAACTATAGAGACTTGCTTTATTGAGCTCATTGTCTTTCCTGAAATCGAAAACATAGAACCCCAGTCTTTCACGTACATTTTGGGGAAGCTGCAAGATGGAAGTGGGCAAATGAACATTCAGTTCTAGAGTCTGCCATCAAACATTGCTGGATTTGCCATTTTTATAATGGCCAGCTGTTGAGATCATGTAGGAGATGATGGTAAAGACCTCTGTCTGAGATCCCGGTGAACTATGGCCAGAGTGGACAAAACTAACCTAGATGGAGCAATGCTCAAGGCAGCTTCTTATGTTAATGTAAAAAATAAAAGAAATGGGGGGGGGGGGGGAGAGAGAATGTTGCTTCCTTCATATATGTAAAGGAACAAACTGATAGTATAAGATACTTGTGTGGAAACAGGGCCCTACTCCTGCTGCATATTTTGGCATAGTCTAGGAAGAGGACCTTGGAGCACAACCATGGGCCTAATTTGGTGCATTGTAACGTCACTTTATGCAGGGGCCACAGGGGTGCAGTGGGTTAAACCACTGAGTTGCGGAACTTGCTGACCGCTGTTTGAATCCGTGAAGAGGTGTTACCTCCTGTCGTTAGCCCTAACTTCTGCCAACCTAGCAGTTTGAAAACATGCAAATGTGATTAGATCAATAGGTACCGTTTTGGCAGGAAGGTAACGGCATTCTATGCGGTCATGCTGACCACATGACCTTGGAGGAGTCTAAGGACAACACTGGCTCTTTGGCTTAGAAATGGAGATGAGCACCACCCCCCAGAATTGGATTCGACTAGACTTAATGTTGAGGGAAAACCTTTACTTTTAACATCACTTTATTTTGTAGTTGTTATATTACTTTGTTTTGAGCTACATTTTCTCCACTCTTTTACCAATTGGAAATGCAATTGAAATATATACACATTGCTCTTGATTTATTTTTCTTCCCCAGCACACTACAGTAAACCAGTTATAAACATTACTGAGCAACCTGGTGAAGAAATGATACTTGTTTGCCATTCTAGCCATGGATATCCTCAGGCAAATCTTAAGTGGATAAATCAAACTGACAACAACCCTTTGAATGCAACTGAATTGAATGCTACTAGAAACTCTAATGGGACTTTCAGTATCTCCAGCACTTTAAGGATTAAAGCAACCTCTGATACAAAGTTAGGATGTCGAATTGAAAATCCACTGCTGCATCAGAATATAACTACAACCTGTAAGTTGATGTACACATTTGAATTGTATCAGCTTGTGTCTGTGTCAGCTATTGTTGTGAAAAACAAATACATCAAGAATGCATGATTATATATATATATATATACACACACACACACACACACAGTGTGGCCAAGATCCTGTACCACTTCAGCATATTGTAAATCTCTACATTATGTTACTGAATACCAAATCAACACAATGTTTGTGGATCAGTGGTTAATGTGCATTGCGCAATTGTGATGCACAGAGGTAATACATAGAGGCATTGTGAATTTCCATGCTTCTCCGTGTGCTGCAGTCATCTACCACACGCACAACAGTCTGACATACACAATTCCATTTAAAATGCTGTTATCTGAATAGGACTACTGTGTCACATTACAAAAAAAATCACTCCAGATGCTTAACACAACTTACATCTAAGTATGCTGGTCCACAGGATACTGGCCTTTACATGTATACTCTGTGTTTGTGTATATGTGTGCAATATAATCTATGTTTATGTGTGTGTTTGTGTGTGCCTTCAAGTTGCCTGTTCATTTACGCAGCCTACAGCAAGGAATACACAGAAGTGGTTTTGCTAATTCTTTCCTCTGGTATTCATTGGGGTCCCCCATCCAAGTCTCCTTGTGGAAAGAATAAGCTGGATATAAATAAACATAATAATAAGTACTAACTAGAGTTGCTCCACCTTTAATATAAATAATATAGTCCCAAACCCTTAAACCTCTAAACACTTTCTTTATCATTTCTAAACTGGAATTTAATCATGAAGTCCCATTTCAATTGTGAAATGCAGTTTCAGGGTTTAAAATGCTAGTAAGGAATCAGTTAGGTCTTGGCTCCATCTCAGCTTTGTTGTATCATGTCTGGGTTTCAAAAACTCAACTCAAAATTGGGTTGGTGCTAATTTTAGACTTAACACTAACACAGTCTTCATTGGTATCCACCAACAAATCACAACACAGGGATATACAACAAGAGGAAGCTACAGATAAAAAGGAAAGCATATTTAAGAGTTACTAATCTCAAGAATAAAATTTGCAACAGTCTCACAAAATAATGCATCAGAGTTGTTTGGAAGGTATGACATTTTATAACACACTTGCCATTATAACACCCAACTGCCTATGTCTGTAGCAAATGCCAAGATAGCAAATGTATTTGACCTATTTAGTTTTGTGGCCCCTGATCTGCCAAGACACAAGCTTCCACTTTTTGGCAAAAATGAGAATGTTGGATTTAACATAATTTTAGACTAAAATATTGCAAATTGCAAATTGTCATGAGTGTTTCTGTCCATTTGTGTAACATACACAGTCAGGTGCAACAGTCCTTTATGCTAAAATGTGATTCTTAACAACATCTTGTTTAACAAAAAGAATATTCAAGCATTCAAAGCTGTTTGTATTTTCTGTGGCCCTTGGTGCAACTTAATGTTTTGTTTCCCTCCTTGCTATAGTTATATTTGGCAAAGAGAGCCCTCGAAACAGTTCTATAATTGATCGCAGCCCTGGTCCTGTGGCCAGTGGTGTTGTAATAATTGCTGTAATAGTGATTGCTATTATTATGTTCACCTTCTGCTGGAATAAAAGGAGGCGTTCTCATCAAAAAGCATATGCTGGTAAGTAAGTGATATATTTTAGCAAACTTACAAGTGTGGTAATGCCCAAAATGCCAAAACAGTTAGCCTGTACAACTGTTTAGCTAAGTGCAGTTCAAATAGTTTGTCTTAAGAGTGAATCTGTATAATCATTGCCTGGATCATGTCTGCCATATGTCTGCCCTTTTGATAACTGCATTTCAAAAGGGAACCCCTTCCCCTGCTTGCCCTTAAACATGATTTGTTGCACTGTATATTTGAAATCTCTACCACCTGCATCAGGACTGAAGTAACTCTACGTTCCAAAATGCCACCGGGTTTGTATGCAGCAATCTCTGCAGGTGAAATAAAACATCTGGTTATGCATCTTTGCTGCTTTGGATTTGTTGTTGCATCCTCTATATTGAAAACTGTGAAGTACAAAGAGATTTCAACATACAGATTTTCTCAGTATGCTAGTTATGTTGTCATTTGCTAACTCGTGCCATCCTGGCTTGCTCTGTAGCAGGCATCCTCAAACTGCAGCCCTCCAGCTGTTTGGGCCTCCCAACTCCCAGAATTCCTGACCATTTGACAAGCTGGATAGGGCTTCTGGGAGTTGGAGTCCAAACAACTGGAAGGCTGCAGTTTGAGGATGCCTGCATTGGGACATCTAACATTCAGAGAGCCTTCCAAAGATCTAGTTCAAGACCTGGCAGTCACAAGTGGATGGCCTGTGCTGGGAACTGGATTGGAAAGTATGTCTTTGTGGATCCTGTGGGACTTTTAAGTGCCAGAGGATGTTTTGGGATGTTTTGTCAAGATGAGGGTTTCTGAGCACTGGTTTTTGTGGTTGAATTCCATTTAGTTTGAAAGTTTGCAGGAGGAAATGCAGTTGGAGGCATTGTTGTTCATTCTTACAGCTGGCCATTAAGCAGCAGGGTTTTGTGAAGCTCACTATTGTTCCTTATGGTCTTGAACATCTACATTAAGCTGTTAGGGGAGTTTATCCAGATTTCTGGGGCTCACCATTATGCTGATAATCCCAAATCGCCTCCCAGTTAGTTAATTGACAAGGTATGCCTCAATTAACACTCTACTATAATATGTTCTATGTGGGGCTGCCCTTGAAAAGCATTTGGTGAATGGGAAATGCGGCAAACTAAACTATTTTCTGGTGTACACTGTAGAGGCCACATATCACTGATCTTGTACTAAATGTACCAGTTTTCAGTTTGTTTCTAAGCCCTATTCACATTGCTGATTTTCACCAACAAAGCCCTATGCAGCCTTGTGGCAGAATGTCTTGGAAAACTTCCTCCTCCCATAGATAGGAGCCTGATCAAAATTTGAATTCCTCAGTGGGGTTCCCTTTGTATTCTACTAAGACTTGATTGGTCAATATACAAGACTGGGCTTTCTTGATAAACGTTTGATTTCACATCAGGTATTTGCAAAAGCAAGCTTGTTCAGCTATTTCAAGTTTAGCATAATAAATCAAATATTCCCAGAGATTCACAGTCTCTCTTTAATTCCAAATTTAAATAATTTAATTGGACATACTCTCATTTTATTTTCCTATCCAAATTATAGGTGTGGCTATGAAATAAATTACAGTCAATCCCCAAATTACGAACACGATAGGCTCTGTAGGTTTGTTCTTAAGTTGAATTTGTTTGTAAGTCAGAACAGGTGCTTTAAAAGTATGTATATTAGCTTTAGATGGCATAGGGAAGGGTTAACACTCCCGTGGTGTGTGTTTTGCTGTCTGTGTCCCTGTTCAGAAGATTTCACATCACTTACTGTCCCTGTGACAACTGGATTTTGAAAGGATTTGGCTTGCTGCAGAAACAAGGATTTGAGAGAAAACTTCAGTGGAGACACATTTTCCCCATGATAACTTTTTCAGGAGTGAATTCCCTTTCCTAGAGGTAGATTTCTCTCACTTCCTGTTGTCTCATCCCATTTGCAACTATGAGCCCTTTGTAAATCAGATGTTTGTGCCTTGGAGACTGCTTGTATTAGAGTTCCCAAGTGTCTTCTTAAACACAGATAGCAGTGTTCTCCTTCCCTTTGCAGTAGATAACATTGTGTAATGAATCTTTAAAAACATATTACGATTTGTTCATTTAACAGGTGTGTGTAAAAATGAAGAAGCAGAGCACTGCAATGGTAAGTAGCAAACTATCAATAATAATATATTTTATGAATATATAAGTGTCAAAAAAGACTGAAATTTTATTCTAATCTTAAAAATAAAAACTGTTTTTACCCCACCGGGGAACCCTTTGCAATAATAATGGGGGCTTTATGAGATTTTCCTGGATAAAATCACTATTAGGGTGGGATGGATGGGATGAGTATTTATATATTATGGAGACTGGAATCATATATGTGACCCTATCATTTCTGTTTTAAGGAGGGTATTTGCAGTGAATCCTGTCACCAGGCTTAATTGCTGTTAAATTTTGGCATCATAACTTCTATTGGGAAATTCAAGTATTTAGATAATTGTTATTCTGCTAGCAACAGGACTCAAGTTTCCGTTATAGGATTAGCATAATTTGAATGCAGTTTGAAGGCAGTTAATAACAGTAATTAATTACTGGCGGTTCATGGTTTCAGGAAGAGTGGGTTCTCAGTCCTTTCGCTTTGTGGTGAAGCATCCCCCTGTTCAGACATATATTATTTATTTATTTGTGGTATTTGTATATTGCCCTTCTCAACTTTGAAGGGAACTCAGGGCGGTCCACAGTGTTGGCAACAATTCAATGCCATTGATAAAAAAAACAGGTCAAAATTGATCCTTCCCTGATAAAACATTAAACATTATTAAACACAGCACATAAAATAACATATCACACAATGACACAACCATTGTCCATAAACATTGCACTTTCAACTTTCACTTTCACTTTAAATATTCCTATGTTGGGCTGAACGCTTGGTTCCACATCACACTTCCTAGTATTACGTAGCCTCTCTTTTTAATATGTAACAGAGACTTATTTTTATTTTTAAAGGTGCTGTTGAACTAGAAAACATCTAGAGGTGCTGAACTGCTGGAGAGAAAGCTAAATGACATAGCAACATTACTGTGAAGCATTCCTTCAAATATGGGCCTGTGCTCATACTTTGGTCTTTTGCACTGCCAGGAGGACTATCTACCCACAATTCTACTGGTGGAAGGCACAATTCTACCTTGTGTATAACTTTACAGACTAGACTGTAAAGTTAGCCTTCTGGAAAGGATCTACTTTTTTGGACACCCCAAGACTTCTGTTTCAGAAAACCTAGAACATATGTTTAAGTTACTTAAAATTGTGTCACTTGGTACAGAACTTAAGTACAGCTGCGTGGAAGTTAATCATGATGGTGAACTGATGCTAATAGGAGCCCCCTGTGGCACAGGGGGTTAAACCCCTGTGCTGGCAGGACTGAAGACTGACAGGTTGCAGGTTCAAATCTGGAGAGCGCAGATGAGCTCCCTCTATCAGCTCCAGCTCCCCATGCGGTGACATGAGAGAAGCCTCCCACAAGGATGGTTACACATCAAAAACATCCAGGCAATGTCCTCTGGGCAACGTCCTTGCAGACAGCCAATTCTCTCACACCACAAGCGACTTGCAGTTTCTCAAGTCACTCCTGACACGACAAAAAAAAAAAACGGATGCTAATTGAATTATTGGATGTTTCCAGATTCAGAAAGTATATGAGAAAACACCTACTCCTGGATAACCAGTGTGCAGGAAGGCATTCAGGCCTCATTTGTGAATTTCCAAATCGTGCCTTGTTGGCTGCTGTGGGAACTACATTAAGCCCTGATTATATGCTGAAGTTTGATTCTAGGTTCCCCCTTGGCTATTGAAATCCATGGATGCTGAAGTTTCACTATATACAATGGTGTCGTGAAATGGTGCCATATCCCATTTCCAGGAATAGTTGCGAAAGCTGGATAGTGAAAAAAAACTATTAGAAAGAAAATCAACTCATTTGAGATGTGATGCTGGAGAAAAGTTCTATGAATACCTAAAAGCTAAATAAATGAGTTCTTGCGCAAGTCAAAATGACTACGCTGAGGCAATTATACTTTGGCCATAACAAGAAAAAAAAACATGACAAAGTAGTAAGGTGAATAACAATCGGACAAGAGAAATTCCAGGTGGAAAGATGCAGCGAAGGAAGCCATGGCCTTGTCTACAGTCTGATGAGAATGGAGTGACATGGAGATCTCTTATTTGTGACGTTATTGACTTGATGGTAGCTAACAACAAAGTAAAATGGCATCCCTTATATAAAAGGGTGAACAACTCAAACAAGTGACAGAGGGAGTCTGAGTATCTGTAAAATGGTGCAAAGCTACAACAGGGTATGCCTGAACATCAGCATAGTGCTAAATTAAAGTTTGTTTGGGGGATTTTTTAAATATATGCAAGCCATGATTGGTTGAATCTGTGGGTGCAGAACCTATGTAAAGATATAGAGAGCTGACCGAACAATGCTGTATGAGATAACTCTTGATCTTATCCAACAGTGTGATTAAGTTCTAATGTGTTGTGGTCAAAGAAGGAGACAATGTTCCAGCCCAACATTCCAATGTTAGTGTAGAATATGAGGGATTCTTAGAAGAAAGTAGCCCCCAGCATGACGCCCAGAGTTAGGTTTAATGCTTATTGAGAGAAGACTATATACATATATACATAGTTAAATGAAAAGTGAGGCGGTGCATACTCGGACAACTCCAGCAGCCAAACAGGTCCAATCATCAGTTGAAAACACAGTGCCATGTGCTGGGCATTGCTAGAACTGAAATGTTTTAAGCAATTGATCCTATGACTTCAGTAGCCTCATCACAATCTGAAACTGAACATGTGCCACTTTAACCATGTCACATTCATTTATGTGGGTGCTGCGTCTGCCAGGAACAGGAAATGCATCAATCAAGCATCTTCTCAAATGTTTCACTCAGTAACCCTGGTGGGTTAAACCCTTGTGCTGACAAGACTAAAGACTGACAGGTCGGAGGTTTGAATCTAGAGAGAGCACGCATGAGCACTTTCTGTCAGCTCCAGCTCCCCATGCGGGGACATGAGAGAAACCTCCCATAACGATGGTAAAACATCAAAACATCTGGGCATCCCCTGGGCAATGTCCTTGCAGATGGCCAATTCTCTTATACCAAGTGTGACTTGCAGTTTCTCAAGTTGCTCCTGACATTTTAAAAAAATCTCAGTAACAGGGTGCACAGCCAAATTTTAACTTTGAGAGGAAGAGTTATTTTAGAAAATCTCTTAGAAAGTTGGAACATGACTGAATACTTTCCTAACACTCTTCAGGAACAGTACCCATTGGCTTACAGCTATAGTCTTGGCTGCAACAGCCAAACAATCCAAAAGCTTGCATTTTGAGCTAAGCAAGGTTTCAAAGATGGAAACTTTCAGGCAGTAGATTAAAGAATTGTCAAACATCATCTCTGTGTTTGTGCCAATATTTATTTATCATGTCAGGGGCAACCACACCATTGTATTACATTTCTAACTGAACAAAACAAACAAACAGATAAAAAAACAAAGTTTGCAAGCTTGGTAGTTGATTAAATGTCCTTTGACCAGTATCTGGCCACTTGGAGTGCCTCTGGTATTGCCGCAAGAAGGTCCTCCATTGTGCATGTAGCAGGGCTCAGGTTGCATTGCAGCAGGTGGTCAGTGGTTTGCTCTTCTCCACACTCGCATGTCGTGGATTCCACTTTGTGGCCCCATTTCTTAAGGTTGGCTCTGCATTTCGTGGTGTCAGAGCGCAGTCAATAATGTGGTAGATATTTTCAGGTCCAGAACACAACATATTTTAGATGTGTAGACAACTGCCAACAACTACTTTGCACATGTGAACATTGTACACATTGGGATCAATGCCAGGCTCTAGATTTGAACCAGTGTTTTTGTGAGTTGTTAACTTAAACTCACAGTAAATGTTATTTTAATCTTTTGAGATTGTGCCACTGAGCTAGTTGTGATAACAAGAGAAGATCAGGATCTGAAACTGAATCTGAACTTTACTACCAAACTATATAAGGATGCAAATTCAACCATAAGATTTGAGAACAGTGCGTAAATAGAAAAGTACATGCATCTGATAATTAAGGGGAACGAAAATGTAAATATAGAGAATACAGAAAATTCATATATGAAACTAGATGGCACAGTCAAGAGGTAGAGATATAAAGAAAGTTATTATACATACCTGAAAGACTAATCCTTCCTAACATTTGATCAGTCAGTAGTTTATCATGTTTCCATCTGCATAGCGGATCAATCTACGACAAAAGTTCCCAAAGTTGTATCAATGGACACTGTGAATGATGTTCATGGTTGGTGTGCTAACTCTGAATCAAGGGAGGCCAGATGACAAGCAAGGTGTCTAGAGCTCAGGGAATTGTAATAAATGTATCAATTTGAGTTTTATTGGATGGATCACTCCAGTGTTAACCTTAACCTACTATATTGACAACATCTACTTTTTCACCACAAATTGGTTCATTTTGCACTTTTCAAGTATAACCATAGCATTAGATGTTCTCAAGATAACTTTTTACCACCCAAATAATTATACTTTTGCCATACTAAGCCCAAACTTTTGTTAAGTTGTATATTTTTTCTGGTTTCTGTGATAACTTATTCTATAAATAATGAGCATAGCCTGAAGAGAAACACTTTAAGTTAGAGAGGAGAAAATGTTGTTTTAGATTTCACTCGGTTTCTTTTTTCCCAAACATAAGTTTGTTTCATCTTATTCTTGTATGTTATGCATTACAAGACTGTATGAACATTTCTATGCATCTTCATGTACATGTCTCTTCATATATTCTCTTTGCTATGTACTTTAATTCAACATATGGATTTTGGTAACTATTTCCCCAAAACCAATGTCATCTCATTCATTTACAAATCGTACTGTCCACTTAGCCATAGATGATGCATTTCTGTGTTCATTGTTTAACTAAAAAATTACATGATTTTTAAGAAGATGTGCACACTAAAATATAATTGAGTTTTGATTTGTATCGTATTTGGGTTCAGGGAATGAAAAATGGATATCAACTGAATGGTTTTCTCCCCTATTTGTTTCTAGAGCTAATTGTAATTGAAACTTTGATCAGGTCAGAAGTCCTGCAGTAATTTTGTTAGGGATTCAACAGACCATTCATGATAATATTGCTACAGTCTTCCAACTGAGTTCTGAACACTTGGGAAAGCATTGTCAGGCATGTTTCCTAAGTAAACATGCCTGAATCTTCCATTTAAACAGTGCTATACTGCATTGTAGATAAGCTGAAAGCCATGCATTAATCAAATACTTTACTTACTTAGATGTTACACATTTAGAAAACCGTTTGGCTTTGGTAAAAGCCTTTAAAAATTAGGTGAATGTTTATTTTGAAAACTCCTTTCTTTTCATTATAGTGTCTTCCAAGCTACATTTGTATTACTTAACTAGTTCTTGCTCTAGTATGTAAATAATTTTGTCATATGTTTTTTAAATTGCATTTTTCAATAAATGGCTCCCTAGTTTTGTATATTTTTTTAAATGTGCTGTGATCTGCATACAAAGGTGCATCTTATCGTTTTGCAAAAATGGAAAGTGTCTCATATAGATGTGTTCACTTTAAAAGCTTCTTTGTGATAATCCAATGAGGAACCTTATCAGAGGCCTTACTGAAATCAAGATATGCAATGTCCACAGCATTCCCTTAATCTAAGATACGGTATATAAACTCCACATTTGTCTTATCATTTGATCTATTGCACTAAGAGCCCCCGGTGTAACAATGGGTTAAACCCTTGTGCTGGCAGGACTGAAGACCGACAGGTCAGAAGTTCGAATCCAGGGAGAGCGCGGATGAGCTCCCTCTGCCAGCTCCGGCTCCCCATTCAGGGACATGAGAGAAGCCTCCCACAAGGATGGTAAAACATCAAAACACCCGGACATCCCTTGAGCAACATCCTTGCAGATGGCCAATTCTCTCACACCAGAAGGGACCTGCAGTATCTCAAGTCGCTCCTGACACGGAAAAAAAAAAATCTATTGCACTAGTATTAATTGTATCTTTTATAAATTATAAGTGTCCAAAAGCCATAGTACATCAGAAAAACTATAATACTGCTATATACCAAAAGTTTAAATAAGTGCAAAATAGATTTTTTCAAATAAGTTGGATTATAATTTCTGTATTCCATAACCAGAATGTCATTGGCTTGCTGTCTGGGTCAGATGAAAGCTGTAGTCCAAAAAACATTGAATGTAGCTAAGGGTGCATCTACACTGTAGAATTAAAACAATTTGACACCACTTTAACTGCTAGTGGTTCTATGCTGTAAAAAATGAGAACTGTAGCTTTACAAAGTCTTTAGCCTTCTCTGTTGGTTCCTCACCAAACTCCAACTCCCAAGGTTCCATAGCAATGAGTCATGGCAGATAAAGTGATGTCAAAATGGATTCATTCTACAGTGCAGATGTGCTAATAGACTCAGATGCTCATCGTATTCAACATATTGCCACCTTTGGTTGTCTGTGTTCTGTCCTCAACATTTTGGGCTTCAAATGGAGCTGGGAATGCATAACCGTTTCAAATTTTCCTAGTTTACATAAGTATGAACATAATCTGTTCAGGATCTCAAGGTCAAAAATCTTGGGTCGTGTTTTGTTTTTGTTCCCAGTCCAGAAGAACATTTATGTCTCTTGAACGCCAGCAATTGAGAAGCTGCGTACAAAAAGTGTTTGCTCCATTGGAATGTGGTATGCATGTTCAATAGTTTGCCAGTTTCCTAAAAGCTTTATTCTTAATACAACTTTGAACCTTTAATTCTTCATCATGATTAAATCAAATGGAATCTATCACTAAAGTAGACTAGAAACAGTGTATTGTAAGCAGTATATTCTGTTCATAGGAGAATAAGGAAGATACAGTGAGCCCTCCACATATACAAATTTACAGGAATTTTGGAGGATTTGTTTATTTGAGGATTTGATCTCTAGGATTCAGGCAGAAGTTGACTGCAGTATCACTCTGAAGGACCTGGACATTCCTTGAGAGGTGTTCTCTCAGGTTCACACATTTATCAAGATCTGGCTTATGATTTGCCTCTGTACTTATGGGAAGTGGTATAAACCTCAACCGCCGTCAGCTGCTTTCCACCAACATGATACAACAATCAGAAGGCTTTCAGGCACAAGTAATATTTTTGTGCATCATGATACATACCTTGTAGGAGGAGGACCAGAGGAGGGTGACTAAAATGATCAAGGGTCTGGAGAACAAGCCCTATGAGGAGCGGCTTAAAGAGCTGAGCATGTTTAGCCTGAAGAAGAGAAGGGTGAGAGGAGACATGATAGCCATGGATAAACATGTGAGAGGAAGTCATAGGGAGGAGGGAGCGAACTTGTTTTCTGCTGCCCTGGAGACTAGGACACGGAACAATGGCTTCAAACTACAAGAAAGGAGATTCCATCTGAACATTAGGAAGACTTTCCTGACTGTGAGAGCTGTTCAGCAGTGTAACTCTCTTCCCTGGAGTGTGGTAGCGGCTCCTTCTTTGGAAGCTTTTAAACAGAGGCTGAATGGCCATCCTTTGGGGATGCTTTGAATGCAATTTTCCTGCTTCTTGGCAGGGTGTTGGGCTGGATGGCCCATGAGGTCTCTTCTAACTCTATGATTCTATGTCCTGAATAACTTCTTCCAAAGGCCCCCAAAATACACCTGGCAGACATAAGTGCCAGTTACATTTGTGTGTGATGTCTGCAGAATGCTGGTTATTTACATCTCTAATACCCATACTTATCCTTAGATAGCAAATGGCTGCAGTTAAAATTGGTAACTGCAGTATGCAACTATTTCATGCACCCATTAAAGGGTTGTGAATAGGGCTCGGTCCTATTGCTGCTGCTTGTAATTTGTATGAATTCTACCAAGCATTGCACATTCTTAAGTCTAAAGTACACCAAATGTATGAGCAATTTGGATAGTGATTAAAATAGTGTGATCATGACTCATAGTATTCTTTGATAATCCCGCTGATTGTCCTGTTGCCCTGCTTTGCATTGTTACTTTCTGGGGAAGTTGCTTTTATCTTCTTTTAGCCAAATTTATTCTGAAACTTCACACAGTTCCCAGTACTGATTTTCTTCATGTAGGAGAAACATGCTAAAATATTTTTCTGATTATCTTTGGCAGTGCAATATCCTCTCTTTTTGGAATAAACAGGCCATGCTTGCTGAAGGCTAACAATCTAATTCTTATCATTTTAATATTATGCCCAAAGCACATAATAGAATTGGTGGAACAGATCTACTTCTCTCCCATTCCTCTGAGATAATAAACCTCTTGAATAGATGCCTAATCAGAAATGGATTGGCTGAAGATGAGAAAACCTAAAACTTAGATAACACAACTGATAACAAAGATGGATGTTTAGTGAAATGACTAGCTGAGATCACCTAACCTGCAGATTTTTTTGGTGCGGAGTCATGGGCGATCACTTGTGACGGAGTGTGGTTGTCTTCCAGAGGTGCTAGGGTTGCAGGAGCTATTGTTGTTTCTGGTTGCAATAAAGATACATCTGAGGATATGGATTATAGATTGCAGCAGTTGTTTGCCTTGAAGACATCACCAGATTGTCGTTTCGGGTGACCCTAAGGTGAACCTATCATGGGAATTTCCCGGTACTGTGAGTGTGACTCACCCAAGGTCACTCAGTAGGTTTCTAGCACCATGAAAGAATCAAGCCTTGATCTCCTGAGTCTAGTCTAGTGGTTCTGAACCTGTGGGCCACAGACCACCAGTGGGCCACAAGAGACTCCTTCCTCTTTTTTCCCACTCCTTTTGTGCCACCTGCCACTCCTTCCTGGTCGCTGACCATGGCATATGTTCTGTATCAGAAACAAGAGCTGATGTTGTCTAGACAATGCATTTTTCTGAATCAGTACCTCAAACCAAATCTAAAGTTGATCAAAAACTGATTCGTAGCCCTTACTAATGTCGGAGAGTGGTCGCTGGCCAAGTGGTCCCTGATTTTAAAAAGCTTGGGATCCACCAGTCTAATCCAGTGCTCAAACCACTACATCACAAGATACTTGGCTGGTTATCCTGAGTGTGTTTATCATGTTTATCCATAAGATTTCACTACAACGGCACATGTTGCCATTAACAGAAGATCTGTCACAGATCTGTCATGAAAATGTAGCAAAATTTGAATACAGTGAAAGTGAAACTTCCTTTTCATAAATCTGCTAGGCAGAGGGAAGTTGTCTAGTGTCCCCCGCCCCCCGCCAACAGAGAGAAACGGCACACATGCATTGGGCAACAAAACTATCAGCAAGAAAGATCACTGGAGTACTCCTTGCTTTGCCACAGAAAACATCCCCTGCCATTTCCCCCATTTAAAAAATCCCAGCCTGTTATAAGTTGCTGAAATTTTAGAATGCATTTAAAGGGTGGTCAGGAAGGAATTGAAAGCACACATCAGCAAATACAGGGATTTGTCTTGGGATTTCTTGGCTGAGTTTATGTGCCTGAAGGTCAGGATTTCCCCCATGGGCAGCCACGCCGAAAGGGGATTTTTTCAGCCTTCTGGAAATTATTTGACTGTAAAGTCTGAGGATCATGCATAATACTTCCTAGATTAAAAAAAGACATTCCTCAGCTGCCCTCCTGTTAATTTCAGATAGCTGTTAGGAAAGTTTCCTTTCTCCGTCCTGGGAAAGTCCCACCCGGTTTCCTTGCTCCAACTCATTTCCCTCTGCCCTAAGCAGATATGAAACTGTATTATACTAAGGCTAGTTGGACTCCAATCCTCTTTTTAAAATACAAAACTAGAATTTTGAAAAAAAATGTATAAAAGAGCAACTGCAAAATGTATAAGATGCATAGCCCTTTTAAGACCAGCAAACACAGCAAGGAAGCTTCATTTGCTGCTTGAAGGAATAAGTGGCAGGGGTGTGGATTAGAATAGATCTCCAGATGTTGAATCCCTACTAGCTATGCTGACCTGGAGCCCATCCAGACAGGACCCAAAACGTGCGAGCTTGCATGCTTTTACCAGAGGCGTCCAAACAACACCTCCGGTAAAATTGAATTAATTATAGACAAATCAGGAAAACCCTGTTTTGTCCTGAATTAATTTGATACCTGGTAAGAACTGGATCTTTGATAAGATCTGGGTCTATCCAGGTATGGGCCCAGTGTGGATTGGGTCCGTGGATCGCGTCACACAATCCCTGGGCCCAATACACACAGCCCTCTCAGGTTTGTCTGGCTCTATAAACCTGGAAAATCCAGAGAGCACCAGCCCCCTCCCCACCCCTCAAAAAGCAAAAAATTGCTCCCCCCCCCCCATGATTTCTATGCGCCAGGACTCCAGCAGGACCTTCATGGCGACCATGTAAGTTAGTTTCTATTTTAAGGCCTCTGAGGAGGGGGGCTGGTGTCTCAGTACCCTCCTGGAAGTTACCGGGAGGGTATCTGAACACTCCCAGGGGAAAGTTCACAGTTTAGGGGGAGGTGGGACTAAAGGCCGCCCCAAACT